GGACCGCGAGATCGTGACCTGGCTGAAGTCGGACGCTTAACCGACTGCGCCACCCAGGCGCCCCTAAAAACCCAATACCATTTAAATTAGTGCGCTGTCTGCCCCCTTAAAATTTCTTTAAACCTAAAAGAAATATTTAGGTTTAAATCTAACAAAATACGTACAGATCTACATGAAGAAAACCAGAAAATTCTGATGAATGAAATAAAAAATCTAAATAAATGAAAGGATATTCTGTGTTCATGGAAAAGAAGAATCAATATTGTTAAGGTGTCAATTCTTCCCACCTTGATCTATAGATTCAATGTAATCAAAAGCCCAGAAAGTACTTTGTGGATTCTGACAAACTGACTCTCAAGTTTATAAGGATAGGCAAAAGGTCCAGAATAGCTAACACAATACTGAAAAGGAACAACAAAATTTGATGACTAACACAATCTTACTTAAAGACTTACTGTAAAACTACAATAATCTATAGAACATGGTATTGGTGAAAGAACAGACAAATAGACCAACAGAACAGAATAGAGAGCCCAGAAAAAGACCCACACAAATGTATTTAACTCATCTTTGACAAAGGAACATAAGTAATTCAATGGAGAAAAGATAATCTTCAACAAATAGGCTGGAACAACTTATGCACAAAGTCTGCACATGGAATCTAGACACGCATTTTATACTTTTCACAAAAATTAACTCAAAATGTATCATAGACCTAAACATAAAACTATAAAATGTCTAGAAAGATAACATAAAAGAAACTCTAGGCGGCCTTGAGTTTGGTGATATGCTTTTAGATACAATGCCGAAAGCATAATCCATGAAAGCAAAAAATCAGTAAGTTGGACTTTACTGAAATTTAGAACTTCTGCTCTGCAAAACACAGTTAAGAAAATGAAAAAACAGGCCATAGACTGGGAGAAAATATTTGCAAAACACATATCTGATAAAGGATTTGTATCTAAAATATACAGATGACTCAAAAAATAAATAAATAACATAACGGAGGATTCTTAAAACTCAACAACTGGGACACAAAGGACCCAACTGAAAAATGGTCAAAAGATCTAAACAAGTATCTTTCAAAAGAAGATATGCAGAGGACAAAAAAGCAAATAGAAAGATCCTCAACATCACATGTCATTAGGGAATTACAAATTAAAACAACAGAAGAGATATCACTACATACTTACTAGAATAGCTAAAATACAAAAAATTAACGATACCAAATGTTGATGAGGATACAGAACAACAGGAACTCTCATTCATGACTGGTAGAAATGCAAAATGATACAGTCACTCTGGAAGAACTGGCAGTTTCTTACAAGTTTAAACATCGTCTTAACATATGATCCAGCAATCACACTCTTGGGTATTAACCCAATTGAGATGAAAAATTATGTCTACACAAAAACCTGCACCTGAATGTTTATGGCAGCTTTATTCCTAATTGCCCAAAACTGGAAACAATCAAGATATTTTTCAATAGGTGAATGGATAAACAAACTATGGCACATCCATACAATGGAATATTATTCAGTGATAAAAATAAATGAGCTATCAAGCCACCAAAATAACAAACAACAACAAAAAAAGACATGGAGGAATCTTGAATGTATATTGCTATGTGAAGGAAGCCCATCTGAAAAGGCTTCATACTGATCATTCCAATTCAATTATATAATATTGTAGAAAAGGCAAAACTATGGGGACAGTAAAAAGATTAGTGGTGTAAGGGGCCCAGGGGGAGGGGCAAATAGGTGAAACAGAGGCAGTGAAAACTATTCTGTGATACTGTAACATATATGTCAAACTCACAGAACTAGAAACACACAGAGTGAATCTTAACGTATGCAAATTTTAAATAAACCATTTAAAAGTTCAAGGAATCCCCCAAAAGAGAGAAGGTACACTGTAACAACAAATCTAAGTGTACTACAAATGTACGAAAGAGCCTCGCTGCAAGGGACAGAAGAAAGGTGCTGACCTATGGAACTTCTGAAATAAATGGAGTCTACAAGAACAAAGGCAAGATGAATTGCAAGTACTATACCCTGGGTGATAATGTTGTTTCTCATGGGGGTACAAGTTAACAATTCTGATATGGCTGTAGACATATACTAGAATTAAACAATTAAGTAAATAGACGAGAGGACGATGGGAGCCAGGTTTCTTACTGCTGGAGTGGGTTTCACAAATATGCAAAAGAAGGAGGCTAGAATGATTCATATGGTAATAGATTAAAGTTAGGGACATCATTAAGAACTACTATATTAAAATAAATATAGACACAGATGGTTAAAAATAGAAATTCTTACAGATTTTTGTATATACACAGATTAGTATACATACACATATTTATTTGCTCTGTCAGTTCAGAGGGCCCAGAAGCAATGATATCCCAGTGGGGACAAGCACATCTAGTGCCCGCATTTTGGTTTCTAACATATTTTCCAATCGAAAGAACCAGAGAGAATTCCTTGAATAATTGGCTGATTCTAGGAATGGGACAAGAAATACACAAGATGATCCTGGAGCATCTTCTAGTGCCAGAAAGTAAGGAAGTGCTTAGATCAAAACAAAACCCCACAATGATGAGAGTATGTCAAAGAGACACAAGAGTCAACTGAAAATGATCCCAATGGCCAAAGCAGGAACAATTTGAGCAATAAAATAAAGTTGTATGAAATTATAACCTAAAGTACAAAATAAATATCCTGAGTCCAAACTGACATCAATAAATTTAGATTAATAAGTGAGGGAGAAGAGAGAAATCTCTTGTGCAGAAGAATCCCAAATAAATTATGTAACTACTCCACTCTAAAGGAGGGGGAGCATAATTTACCACAGCTTAAATGTGCGCTGCATAGAGTGACTTCCTTTCAAAGACTATAAGATGACAAAGAGGAGAGGAGAGTAGCTTTATAGGGGAAAAACCAGACAAATACTAAAGCTAGATGATTAAGGTCAACACCAAGAGTCATAAATCATTCAAAAAAATGGGATGGGATGAAAATCGCACTTTACCTCTGTGATCTTCCTCCCCCAAAACCATAACTCCAGTGAATTATGAGAAAAATAGCAGGGAAATGCCAATAGAGCGGCATCCTATGATATACCTGACCATTACTCCTCAGAATATCAAGGTTGCCAAAACAAGGAAAAGTCTGTGAAACTGAGAAACTGTGACAGTAAAGAGGAGCCTAAGGACACATAACAACTAAATGTATTGTGGTATTTTGGATGGGATCCTGGAACAGAAAAAAAGACATCAGATTAAAAGTTAAGGAAATCTGAATAAACTATGGACTTTAATTAATAATAATAATTATCAATATTGGCTCATTATTTGTAACAAATATACCATACTAATGCAAGATGTTAATAATAGGGAAAGTGGTGTGCAGAGATGGGAGTGATATGAAAACTCTGTACTATCTTTGCAATTTTTCTGTCAATCTAAAGCTATTCTAACAAATAAAACCTATTAATTTTTTAAATGCTTTTATTTTAAGCTTTCTGTCAGTTGCAGAGGAAATGAATCCTAACTTAACATTCTCATCCCCCAAACTAATATGTACAAAATATTAAAAGTCCTAAGTACAATTTTGGGAAGGCTCATAGACACTGTCCCCCTTTTATAGGCTGAATTGTGGCCTCTCAAAATTCATACGCTGAAGTCCTAACCCCAGTGCCTCGGACTGTGACTATATTTGGAAATAGGGTCTTTATCTAGGTAACTCAATTACAATGAGATCATTAGGTTGGGCCCTAGACTAATATGACCAATGCACTTGCAAGAAGGAAAGAGTAGGACACACATGCACAGAGGGAAGAATACTGAAGACACAGGGAGAAGATGGCCATTTACAAGCCAAGCAAAAAGCCCTCAGAAAAAAACAACCCCACGGATACCTTCATTTCAGACTGCTAGACTCCAGGGTTGTGAGAAAATAAATTTCTGTCATTTAAGCCACCTGTCAGTGGTATTTTGTTATGGCAAACCCCAGCAAACAAATACACCCCCCAAAGCTCATCTACATATGATCAGACCAATCATAACAGAGGAGAGCTCAAAGAGGTGTTTGGTGGACAGTGTGGCTGTTGCTGCAAGTCTTCACTGGGCACCTACCTCACACCAGCACCCAGCTGGGCATGTTCATGCATTATGTTATGTAATCCTCAGAACATCATGAGACAGGTGTGATTTATCACCCCATTTTGTGCAGGGGAAAATTCAGGTCCAAAAATGTTAAGTGGCTGGCCCAATCACCCAGTTTGGAAGCAGCAAAGCTAAAACAGGATTCAGGGGCGCCTGGGTGGCTCAGTCGGTTGAGCGGCCGACTTCGGCTCAGGTCATGATCTCGCGGTCCGTGAGTTCAAGCCCCACATTGGGCTCTGTGTTGACAGCTCAGAGCCTGGAGCCTGTTTCGGATTCTCTCACCCTCCTCTGACCCTCCCCCGTTCATGCTCTGTCTCTCTCTGTCTCAAAAATAAATAAACGTTAAAAAAAAAATAAAACAGGATTCAGATCTATGGAACCCAGCATCTCACTCCTTTCCCGGCTACCTTTCAGAGACACCTCTGCAGTAAACACTCACCATCCATACACTAAGTAAATTATATCATAACTTATATAGCTGTCTTTCACTGAGCACTTACAGTGGGCCATACATTATACTAAGCATGTTACCTGAATTTTTCATAGACTCTTCCCCACAATAAACCTCCTAGGCAGGTACTATTACATTTGTTCAGAAAGTGGTTCTATGTGATTAATAGAGGTTCTATGTGATTAGTAACTTGCCCAACACTGTTCGGCTGTCAAACCCATCTGTCTGACTCATAGGCATGTTCTAAACCTCTGCTCCATCTGGCCCAGCCACAACTCCACCCCAAGCCTCAGTACCACGGAAACCACAGGGCCCTGCCCCCAGGGAACTCACCCACAACCTCCAGCTTGACTTGTCCCACTGCTTTGTGAGGGGTGATCACCACCTCACATCGGTACTCTCCTGCTTCCCTCAGCTGGATCCCTGGCAGCTGCAGTGAGGCATTCCCACTCTCCAAACTTTTAAGAGGCACCATGGCTCCAGGTCGACCTGTCATTTGTTGGCCTCCAAAAAACTCAAATAGCTTAACTTCTGTTGCAGACCCTGGATTCTTCCAAAACCAGGTGACACCCATAATGGTTATGTTTGGGGAGGGGTCACCATAGACTTGGCAGAAAATAGTGGCATTGTCATTCAGCAGCACAGTCTGAGTTGTCCCTGCCATCTTCACTTGCAAGAAACCTGTGGCAATAAGAGAATTCAGTTATGGGAAACTGTTGGAAAAAAACATAGGCCTGATACTCTCAAACACTACCACATAAATGGAAACAAATCCCTTTTTTTGTGAGGGGAAGGGGGTGTTTCAGGTACAGACGCTCTTAGTTCACGGCCCTGCATTAACCCACGTAAGAGTGTTCAACTTTGTTCTTCTTTTTCAAGATTGTTTTCAATATTCTATGTCCCTTGCAATTTCAGAGGAATTTTAGAATCAGTTTATCAATTTCTACAAAGAACTCAGCCGAGATTCTAACATGAATTGCACTGAATGTGTAGCAATTTGGGGAGTACTACCATCTTAATAAGGTTGTCTTCCAATCCATAAATGTCTTTTGGGGATGTACTATGGAATGAATGTTTGTGTCCCTCCAAATTTCACACAATTGAAGCCTAACCCCCAGTGTGATGGTACTTGGAGGTGGGGCCTTTGGGAGGTGATTAGGTCACAAAGGTGAAGCCCTCGTAAATGGGATTAGTGTCCTAATAAGAGACAGGCAGAGAGATCTCTTTCTCAGCACCAGGGGATAAAGTAAGAAGGTATTCCTCTACAAGTCAGGAAGAGGCCCCTCACCAGGACCCAATTCAGTCAGCACCTAGATGGTGGACTTCCCAGCCTCCAGAACTGTGAGAAATAAATCTCTGTTGTTTAAGCCACTTAGTCTAAGGTATTTGTTAGGCGGCCTAAAAAAACTTAGGATGGGATAATTCTTCCATTTCACTTTAGATCTTCTTTAAAATTTTTCAACAGCAAATATTCCTGCTGTTCTCATTTTGTAAATAATCAAGACAGACTAAACATTTGCTATATTAAGATCATGCATGTCTCCCCAAACTTAGTTCTTTCCCTGGATCTGGTTTTATCAATGCTGGTGATTCATATGATGCATCTTATGTGGGAAATATCTGTAAGTCTAGGTATCCTTGAGAAATGATAGCAAAGCTAGTGTAATCACTTTTAAAGATAACAATTGATAATTTGATGATTTGCCATTTGCAATGCCAGTTGCCATTAAATGAATTATAAAACTAAAAAAACATATAGTTTTCAGAGTAAAAGTTTTGTGCTCCTTTTGTTAAACTTATTCCTAAGTATTTTATTCTTTCTGATGGATTCATAAGTAGAACTTTTCTCTTAATTTTTTGGATTGCTCATTGCAAGTATATAGAAATACTATTTATTATTTATTATTAATTATTAATTATTATTATTAATACTATTATTATTTATTATCTAAGATGTTTAATAGCATTTTTTTGTTCTCTTTAAAACTGCCTTGTTTTGTTTCTCAAACTTATGAAAATGCTATGGAGTTACATGTTACTGTTTCTGCTTCTGGCACTGTTTCAAGATCCTCTCACTGCTATGTGTACGGCTAGTCCATTGGTTGAAGTTGTTGACAAGTTCTCTATATGCAAATCCACATTTGGCTCATGTACAGCCCCAAGGATGGACAGACACTCCCAGATGGTCTCCCGAGAATTCCACATCCCCTAACCATCCACCCACCACCCACTGGCACAGCCTGGCCTACTACAAGCCAGAATTCCAGTAGCGTCAAAAGTGATATTTTACTATTAACTTCTATTCTATGTGTTAGTAATGGTAAACATCTCTTCTATGCCTTTCAACCTTCTGGTGTCCTGTTAGATAATTAGACAAACATCCATCAGTCCCTCCCAAAAAAAGTAAAGAGAAGGTTTTGAATATCACCACGAGTTAAAAGTCCCCTCACTCTCTGCAGACTTCCGGTAAAGTGAAAGATGGCTCCCGGACAACACGTGGGATAACAGAGTGGAATGTTTTTTTTTTACTTCCTCCCCCTTTTACACTTGTCAGCTGTAGCAAAATAAATTCACAAAGCGGCTCTGAAAATTCACAGAGCATTCAGAGCACCATGTAGAATCAAAAGGCCCCCCTCCCAGACAAGGGCCGACTCTGCACACAGCCATTGGTACAGTAATGAATGGAGTAAAGCCGAACTCGAAATTTCGGAGGAGAGCTCCCGGAGGCTCGTTAGAGCCCAGAGCAACTGCGGATCTCGGACGGGACAGGACGGACAGGACTCTGCTGTCGCGGACAGGTGAGGAGCTGCCGTGCGGCCTGACACCCCATCCTGCCCTACGCATCCCCACCCTGCCTCCACCCCCCCACCTCCGCCTACCTCACACACCCAGCCGCCCCCCCCCTCCGGGCACCCAGCCAGAGACCTGCTGCGCTGGGCGATTGAATGCCACAGGAACAAGTGGGGAGCAGAGACACATGAAGGAGCAGGAGGCAGCTTGCTTACGACACACGGCCTTCCGACCCGTGAGCCATGTCCACTGCGCCACGCGCGGTGGCTGCGCCCGCGCTGCTCAAGGACCGGCCGGGAGCCCAGGTCCGCCTACTAAGCTGTCTCCAGAGGCTTCCCCTGCGTGAGCTCAACCCGCCTCAGCAACAGAGACACTGGTGGGCGGACTGCGGCTCTCGCCGCCCGGGAGCCACCAGACAGCCTGACCCTGGGGAAACCCGCACAAGGGCAGAAAGTAAAGGCAGACCCCACACCTCCCCTAACCTATATAGGTCCCCTTCCCACACCCGCTTGTCTGCAGTGGGTCTGGCTGGCTGCTCTCACCCCGTTGAACACCCAGCAAGAGCCATGCCCACAGCCCGCCATGGCAGGAGGCAGGAACCCAGCCCAGCCGGGCAGCAGAGGTTACCACTGTAGTGAGGGGAGGTGTCTTACTGGCCCGGGGCTTCAGGTCAGCCTCTGGTTCACTTTGTTTTGTTTCTGGTTTTTTTTTTTTAATGTTTATTTACTTTTGAGAAAGAGAGAGAAAAAACACAAACGGGGAGGGGCAGAGAGATAGGGAGACACAGAATCTGAAGCAGGCTCCAGGCGCCGAGCTGTCAGTGCAAGAGCCAACCCCCTTGGGGGACTGCTTTCGCCATGAGACCATGACCTGAGCTGAAGTCCCAGGCTTCACGGACTGAGCCACCTCAGGAGCCCAGGTTCACTTTGTAAAGTGAAGCTGGGCGCCCCCTCCGTGTGGTGGAAGTTAACTAACGCAGTGCCAGAGTGTGGGTAGGTTGCCACAGGGTGACTGCCCTTACCATCCATAAAATAAACTTACATTACCAAAAAAAAAAAAAAAAAAAAAAAAAGCTTAAGTTTCTTAAACTGAAAGCCAAATTTATATCCAACATCTGAAGGCAGCCCTTAATTTCCCATCCCCTTACTAACCAAAAAGTGGCTTCTGACTTTGTCCAGCAAAACCTGTTCATTCAGTGATCACTAAGTTTTACCACCTCCATACCAGTTTTTAAATCGGTTTTAACTACAAAGTTCAGAACACAAGTAGCAGTGCTATAGTAAGATGCCCAGCATCTTGCATTCCAGTAGTCTCACTGATCCTACCTAGTTTTTTCCCTCACATCACTAAAAGTAATGTATGTAATCTATAGAAAATCACAGGCCGACCTGCACTCAACTGCCAGCTGCATCATCACTGATTGTGTGACAGACAGTGGGCAAGTTACCTCGGTTTCCTCTTCCCTAAAAGTGAGATAGTAAAATCTTCCCTGCAGGGCTGTTGTAAGAATTACAGGATCAGGCAGGGTGTGAATGTAAGACTTAGTGGTACTGTCAGTAACTAAGTAGATATTTACATTCTCACTCACCTGCAGAACAGCATGCATAGTGAAAAGAGCACAGAACTGGGAGGTGAGCAGGGTGCCCACGCTGATACCAACTAGCTAAGTGAAGGTCACAGTTTCTGGGCCACAGTTTTAACAAGTAAGAGATCTACAAGGTTAGGTCCAGCTATGGAATTCTAAAATCCCAAATTACACCTTTTCTCAACTGCTACCTCCTCCAGGGAATCTTAACCTAGGGAGAAGACCTCTTCTGATATTACTGACATCATTAAATAACTTCTTCCAAAGGAAGTTATCTGATGAATCCCTAAACTTGCCCAATAAACCACTCTGCAAACCACTGGGATTTCCACTTCAATGCTATCACTGGAAGCAGGGGCTGGATACTGCTGGAATGCTGGAAAAGGAATGCTGGAAAAGGAATTCCCTCATTGGTACATGATCTCTAAGACCCTAAGACTCTATGACTCTATAAAATAGTGTTTTGCAAAGAATCCATTCTTTCAACACTGCCAAGTTTACCTTTTTCCCCAGAAAATCACCACAAATATTACATGTTTTTCTGATTTTACATTTAATATACTTAAAAACAAAGCTATACAAATGATGACTAGAATAATATATTCCGACAAATATTGCACTGGGAGAATTTTTACAACGTATCATCAAAAAACAAACTCAAATACAACAAACTTGTATAGTCTTTGTGTCTTCCTGATTACCAAATTAAAATCCACTTATTTATTTGCAGTTTTTTAAAATGATCCAATCCTCTAAATAAGCCAAAAAGAATTAAGCCTAAGTACACTTCAGAGTAATATAATTTCTGTCCAAACTTTAAAATTAACAGAACTTTTTTGGCCATGTATTTATAAAAGGTTACATTTTTAATTCAACATTTAAATTGAAAAAATTTCAAAATCCTCCAAATCTAGTAATAACAAATAAAATAAATGGTCTTTAAAATAGGATGTATAAGCCATCATTATTAAGTATCTTTTAAAACATAATAAATATTGATAAAGCATGGATTATGCAGCACTGGTTTCCTTCATGAAAACGAAGGGCACATTTTTTTCACTTTTTAATTCCAGAAGACAATTTTTTTCAGAAGACAAAGAATAATTAATGGTCTCCCCTCCACAACTACTTTAGGCACAAGCTTACATATAAATGTATACATATTGCTTCTAAAATATCTTTCCATTAGAGACTATATAAATTGGTACATGGATATACTGAAAGTTGCAAGGGCTTACCATCTTCATGTGTGCTAATAGATCTTGGACTTAACAGCTTCAAAGAAAGAA